TGATGAGTGACCGTTTGGTCCAGCTCTTTCTTTCATTTTGTCTCGCATGCTTCATCTCGGGCTTATACTACTACTGTCTCTCATGCCATTTCTCCCTCCATAGTCACACCTCCTTTTTTTAGCAAAAGCTAATTCCTCCTAAGTTGAACCAATACAGAAAAATTACAGAATGAGTGTGATGTTTGTCACCAACACAATAATCACTCTGCTGATTCTCCTGCTCTTTCAGCCCCATCTGTTTATATTGTAAGCTACTTCAGGCCAGGACTATACTGTGTTTATACAATACCTAGCATAGCAGGGCCCTCGTCTTGGTTACAAGACACGATTGTAATAAACAATGGCTTGTGGAAAAAACAGTGGTCATAAGAGCAAGATGTGGTTAAGACTGAAGTGATTACTGGGCAAAATACCCCAAATGTGTTATGTATCTAGTAGTTTTATCCATTGTTTTTCCTTGTGAAAGGCAAGTCAGTTTAGAAGCAGATGTAGAAGAAAATGGTGCAAAATATAGTGCAATGGATGAAGGAAAAAGGAAGGGCAGAAAAAAAAGTTTACACCTAGAGCACTGGAGCTAGGGGCACTAAATTCAGCATTTGAAAACAGCAGAAAGGAGTTTAGGGATTACTCCTGCACCATGTAAGTCAAAGATAATTTTTATCATTGATTTCATAAAGCAAGATCAGATCCTAAATGACATATGCTAAAACTGGTAAAAGTGGCTGTCTGACATCCTAGGACAGGATTAGACTTGATGATAATTCATTGTGCAGATTACTCAAAGGTCTAAAATAGTGGTGTTCAACTTTTGACCCCATGAACCAGATTAGTGGTGTGGTGCCAGGCTACAGGCTGGATCAAACCCTATACTAGCATTGGGCCCTGTGGGGCCTTGACTGGCCCTATGCATAGGTATGGGTCCCTGGGACCCAGTACACCCCCTCCCTGCCCCAAATGCCAGAATTGGGCCCTTGGGCCCAGCACTGCTGCTTCCTGCCCCCACCTGCTGAGATTGGGCCCTGAGGCCATCCACTACCCCTACCCAGCCTCATATGCTGGGATTGGGCACCCAGCCCAGTGCAGGGCCTGGGACTCTCCATAGGTTCATAAATTTGGTAGCAGAGGCGCAGTGCTACCACTCCCCTGCTGCCAAAATTCTGGACCTGTGGGAAGGCCTATGAGCCAGATGCCACAGCACCGAAGGGCCAATCTGCCCTGCTGTTTAGGGCTTGAGTATCTTTGGTCTAAAATGTTACTGATGAAACCTGAATCACATTGGCTTGAGGTACTATCAAAATAATTAGTCCATAATACTATCATTATCTGATTTGTACAATACCTATTACTGAAGTACTGCCCTTAACATCTGTGCCTTCAGTTGCCAAATACATAGCATCATTTTCTTCCAATACACATAAAATTATTTAATGAAGATTAGCTTGCAGGTTTATTATCTTTATATCTAATTCCCAGTCCAACTCAACTTGCCTATTCCTGGGCTTCTTGCCACATTCCCTTTTCCTCTGTCCTGTACTATTGAAATGTGGAATTATCTACAGTTCATAAAAGAATCAGATACTTTAGACTGTTGTGTTGATCTGTTATTAATGGACAGTAAATGAAAACATGAGCTAACAAAAGGCAAAAGGATAAGTATATTTAGGCCAGACCAGTTCCCACAGAAATAATTTAGAGGCTTGTCAAACAATGCTTCAAACACAGAAGAATAATGATTTCCTATAGATTCATTGTATATACTCTGGCAATGTAACTTTTGCTTTATATAATATTTTTAACTTGATTTTTAATTTCTATTGAAGGATCTCAAAGAGATTTACAAATACTAATGAAATTGGACTCGCAATGCCCCTTTGAGGTGAAGAAACCGTTCAAAAATTTGTTTACAATAGTAGATCCAATTTTATTTCCCTAGCCTCTGTTTGGTTGTTTTGCATTGCTCTGGCAATATAAATATCAAGCCACCTGGCATAACAAAGAAGCCAGATTTTCTTATTACCCTCTCTTCTGGAACCCAGGCTGCCAGAATGGCTTCTGAAGTCTACTGCAGATGGGTATACTTTCGAGCAACCCTCAGCTGGCGTCAGTATGGGAAAGGATGTAGAACTGTCTTGATATCATTTTGAACACCTCAGCTGTCAAACCTAACACCAGTGCAGCTGAAAATCTGAGCGAAAATATTCGATTAATATTTCTTTCTTTTTATCTGCAAATATTAGTAAGCTCATTGTGGCATATATTCAGTTAATTAAGTAATTGTTAGAATTCACTGTTCAAGCTTTCTGATAGATCACCCCGGTCATATAGTATATTTTATACCTACTTCTTTGTGTGAACCTTTATAAAACTACTTCTATCTCCAATCACAATCAAGTTTGTGTCAATGCAGTTTTAACCTCATTTTGTAATTAAATGTGCATCAGCTGCAGGCCTCTGAATATTCACATTTATGTGATCACTTTTACGAACACCTTTTTGGTTGCATAAAAAATTAACAAGATATAGTGCGAATGCATATGGATATTTCCCTGGACTAACCACACAGTGGGAGAAAATGTCCCTATTCCTACCAGTAGCAACTTTGGGGCTTTGTATACAAGGTTGGTGAGTGGCAGGATTTCACCATCTACATACAGTATCACTGACTTACACGGTGCTGACAGATGTGCAGGCCACCACTCTAATTCATGGCATTTTATATAAAGTGCCATGAGTTAGAGCCCTCTTCCCCTGATGTTCACCTGTTGAGTTGGGGTGGGGAGGATTGAGTTTGCCTGCAGAAGCCCAAGGTGCTGCCCCTCTCCCCCAGCTGCACCCCCACTCCCAGTTCTGGTGCTGTCATCACCCTCCTTGAGACTGTCTGCAAGAATGGAGGTGGGGTAGGGGCGGGGGAGCGATCAGCCATGGCAAGGCTGGGGGACCAGGGCTGGGGTGGGGGAGACTCCAGCCTCTCCCAGCCCATGGTGGGAGCTAACAGCAGGGCCCAGGGCATGGGACCCCATGACTGCCTCCAGGTTAGCTCCCTGAAGCCACAGCCCCCATGCCGTGAGCCCAGCACACCCTCACTCCCAGCCCAGACCTAGTGCTGGCTCAGGGGCCCCACACCTGTCAACCCACAGCACCCTGCACCATGTCCCTGTCTGCCTATCTCCTTTCTGCCCCTATCTGGCTGTCTAGGCCCCATGCCCCATACTTCTATCACTGAGGCCCAAGCAGCCCCATAATGCTGGAGTTTGGCGGACGCATGGAGCAGGTGCAGCTGTCAGGGATGCGGCCACCCTGGCAGATGGTGGAGTGAGCCTGAGGCTAGGACAGAAGAACCAGCCACTTCCCAGGCTCCTGCAGGAGGAGCTGAGCCCTGAGTCGCCCGTGCCTGCTGCTGTTCAGCCTGTTCTACTGGGGAGCCCTTGCCATGGGCTGTGTGAGTTCAGGGATCTGGACAGGTAGGGGCACGTGGCCCAGCCAGAGCAGGGCTGGGGGCTCTCTGAGCGTCACATCTTGTATAGCACATTCAACCCCAGCAGGGCTTTGACCCACAGGGAATCACAGCTGGGCCTGGTGGCTCTAGCAGGTCCTTGGCCTGGACATGGGCTTTGTGGGACCCTGTGACATGATGGTGCGAGGGTCAGAGCATCCTACTTCAAGGCCCTCCTCCCCCTTTGCTGCAGCTGGCTGCCTCTGCCTTCATTGCAGGGAAGCAGCAGGAATGGGATCCCAGGGAGAAGCTCCAGGCCCTGGCCTCCCTCCCCTCTCCCTCCTCCCTTCCTAAAGATAGCCCTGGGTGCCAGGGCTGGGCTGCTTCTGCCCAGGCCCAGTTGTGCCACAATTTAATCCTAGGGAACACAAGTTCCCTAAAGTGCTCCAAAGTGCATCACCTTCATCTGATCCCTCATTTGATGATGGTTAATTTGTCTCTTAATTGGTCACTCCGCAGCCATGCACAGGTGTCACAGTATGGTTGTAGAGCACTTTCAAGGGGCTGATCATACAACAAACTTTGATATGGAGGACAGCCGCCAAATGGGGTGAAAGAGGAGATATTTACAGGTAGGTCAGAAATATCAAGGAAAATCCTATTGTTCCTAAAAACAAGAGCTGTGAGTGGCATTCTTTCTTTGTCAGCTTGTCTTACAGATAGATGTTCTATTGGTGCTCATGAGAGTGTCACTTAGAGGTCATGAATGGGATATAACCCTTTACACACCAGCACATATGGCTAGAGAGGCCTCATATTCATCTGGACACTGTTTCTATAATATGTTTAAATCATCAGAACTTACTACTTTATTTTTATAACCCATTTCTGTGTTAGAACCTCCCATGTCTTCTTTGTGTAACATCATCTGTGAGGCTGTTACTGACTCTTTTCCCTGCATGTCCTTGGAAATTGTTTAAACAAATATAATTTCTGGAAAGCAACATCTCATTATCCCCCTGTCTCTGACTATTCTGGCTCCCAGTGACCCTTTTTGTATGCACACTTCTCAGATCAGTAAAATAAGAATGCCAGAAAAATGTGGAGAGACTTGCATAATTACATGTCTTGCTTTCCTATAAGCTGATAGTAAATATCTTGCCTTGGTTCAAAATGATAAGATGTGCACAGAGAAAGGCATTTATACATATTCATTTCTAACTATTTCCTTGGATGACTGGGAAGAGCTGTTTAATACTAAGACATTAATGAAGGCAAACACAAGCATCAGAAATGATTACTTGGTTGTTGTTGGCTTGGGCCTGTTTCAAACAAATTGACTGAATTACTGTTGTCAAATAGGGTAATCTGGAAGTAAGGACAAAGTGAGAAGACAGTTACTATAATATTACATTCTCATCTGTGAAAATGTATGTGGATTTTATTAGACTTAGTTCAGAGAAGCAAAGCACCCAAGGTTTTAATTATAGGAGAGATTTGCTGTTCCATAGCAGCTTCAGTCTGAGGATCTCATTTACAAACCTAAATTAATTTATGCTTCTAACAGCCCTACTCAAGTACATCTGCACTGTGATTCCAGTTTTACAGATGAAGAAACTGAGGCATGGATAGGTTAACTGGCCTTCCCAACAGCACACAGGTACCCCATGGCAAAATGAGGACTAAAATCTCAATCTCTGACTCCCGATCAGGTGTTTTAGCCACAAAAGAAGGTTCATTTGAATTTTAATTAAATGTATTGAGCCTCCTAAATTTACAACATTAAAAAGGAAAAATTACAGGAATGGATTTATCACATATGTGATGTTTCTTCATTCAGCCAGACTAGAAATCCTCTAAGAACATGTTTTTATCTTTCATCCCTTCAGCTTCTCATCCCAGCTTCAAATAGCACAAGGAAATGAAGGAAAAGATAACAAAAACTTATTTGTCCCTTCAAAGAGGAATGCATGGTTCTAGTGGAAATGTTTGGTGAAGTGTTGTTCAGATTTTATTTGACCTGGTATACCCTTCATTAATTCTTATGGTTGTGATGCTTGTAGAAATTGCAACATTAGAACAAAAGAGACTGTTTCAAAAACACACCGACAAATGCAGTAGGGCTAGATCTTTGCGAATGCTAATTCTCCCAACTTTCTTTAATTTGAGTATTTCTCAGTAGGTACTTTAGATCTCTAAGACTCAAGAGGCATGCAGACAGGTTTATAAAATCGTCATAGTCATCATAATCATTGGTTGTTGGAATATTTATCAACTGAAAAGGGCCTAGTCAAATTTTAAGCAGTAGTTTGGCTTTGTTGCCTTCACACTGCACAAACACACATGTGTTCACACTAGAGATATGCCTCTTGTTCATCTCCAGCTGGAATGAAGTTTGAAGACCATCTGTTTTAGTTCCTTTAAGCAAAAACACATTGTACCAGCTGTTGCTTAAAGAAGATTAGATAACTGAGGCTAAGCTCAAACATGATGTACCCACATATGCACATGGCACCCACATATACCAATGCTGAATTTGACCCAGGAACTTTTACACTCTCACTGTCTCCAGAATTGCCTATAGCACATATTTGTGGTTGCCTGAGAGCCATTTTTCAGCACCTCTCACCCTCCATTTAGGAGGCTATGATGACATTTCTGTCCTTTCTTGTCCAATGGAAAGCTTAGACCTGAGCTGTGCCATCCCAGTTCAAAATGGTAGAGTTGCTTCATGATTATCACAAGGTCCCCTGGGAGTTCTGCCACAATCTGCTCTGCAGTGTTTGATTTTGTTCTGCTATGAAATAAATCAGGGCTGGCCTTACTCACCAGGGATCTGATCCTGTGAGATACCAGGCATCCTCAAATGTGATTGATAGTGCTCTAGTACACGATCCTTAATGTCAAATTTAGATCTGTCATTCTTGTCTCTTCTCTCCAGGGGCATGCTGCTTCTCCATCTCTTACTTTCCATTGAGTCCAGCATTCAGAATTAAATTCTCCAAATGTTTTTCCTACTGCCAAATTATGAACTCTTCATTTAACTAATAAGTTCAATCTTATTAGTCTGAGTCTGAGGATTGAAAAAAAATCCTTTAGTTTAATGGCTTTAAATTGATTCTGAAAATTATTATTCCTTGCAGCAGATTGAGTAGGTGGCAGGTAAGGAGGTCAAGGTGCATGGTGGGTACATTTATCACAGGAATATTGTCTCTATATGATATCTTTTAGGTGCAAATGGCTCAGAGGTCATCTGATATTAGCAGCTGGTGCCTGTAACAATTGTAAAGTGCACAAAATTATTAACAATCAAGGCCTCATGCTCTTATCCTCTGAGGCAGGCTTTTCTTATTTCCCCACTTTGCAGATGGAGTAACAAAGAGATTGCATAAGCACATCTTTGGCAGAGCTGATTATAAAACCCAGGTCTCTAATAAGGAAGATTCAGTCTTTACCCCTTTACCTGCTGGCTGGATGTACCAGTTTATGTCACTGTGTTGTAAGCCTCTAAACCACACTCTCCTCTGGAGCCAAAAATGGATTCTAGGAAGTCTGAGTCCTAATGGTCCTGAGAGGCTGTTGTGTACCCCATTGTTAAAGGGTTTGTCACAATCTCTTCTACCAATGGGTCCACAAAAAATGTAATGACTTGCTATTGCTAGCAGGTGCTCTTTATCTCAAAAGGTGAAGTAAGGCCAAAGGTCCCAATTTCAAACTAGTCAGGGGGGATCAGCAGGCATTGGGGGAGTCACTGTTCCCCCAAGCACTGCCAGGAGTGACCAGGAATAACAGTCACAAGCTGGCAGAGGGTAGGTTTAGGTTAGACATCAGGAGGCGCTATTTCATGGTCAGGGTGGCTAGGGTCTGGAACCAACTTCCAAGAGAGGTGGTGCAGGCTCCTACCCTGGGGGTTTTTAAGAGGAGGTTAGATGAACACCTTGCTGGCGTCGTTTGACCCCAGTACTCTTTCCTGCCATGGCAGGGGGTCGGACTAGATGATCTGCTCAGGTCCCTTCCGACCCTAGAAACTATGAAACCCTGCTATAACCCATGGTGGGGTCATTTTGAATATGTAATATAATTTTGGGAAAGAAATCCATGTATTTTTTTGTTTTGTTGCTTATAAACTCTTAAGTGACATACAGAAGGTATTGTAAGAGAACATTAAAAGCTGTCAAGCCAAGTGCCCAAAAGTATGGAAATGCCACATTGACAGTTGCCCATGCAACCTTAAGGGTGCTGTCTTGCTTTTTAACTAAACCTTGGGTTACATGATCACATGCTATTTCTTCTCTAGGATACCCTCCTCATAGTGCAGAGGAAGGACGCTGAATGTGGCAGACAGTTGCAAGAAAATAAAGGGAGGTCTCATGATTAAAGCCTTAAAGTAGAAACTAGGAAAGAGAGGTCCCATACTTAGCCCTCCAACTGGCTTTTTACACAGAAGAAAGCTATCATAAGAGAGTGGCTTTAAGTTTGGTGATTTGTAATTTTTCAGTGTTTAATCCTGTAACTTTGTTATTTTAATGTAATTTTAAGAAATATAGGCAGTGGTAGGTGCTGCTTTCAGGAATGCTGGTGTAACTCCATGGATTACTGAAATACTTGTGCCCATGCCCTCAGAAGTGATTTTCTTTAAAAGTGTTTTTAGAATACTGTAGGAAGTGACTCAGGATAATAGCTAGTCTAATGAACTATGTTGGCTTCCTGGAGTCTTTTAAAAATAAAACCATTCACAAGAAAAGGGAAAGTCTAGGAAAGAAAATGAAAAAAACCTAGTGTATTTGAAGATACTTAAATCTGACATAATCCAAAGGATCAAAACCCTTCACCCATTCCCTCCTTTTTAGGCATTCTGTAATGTGTGCCACAGATAACACCTAGTCCTGCAGGGTTGTTTCATGGGATTTTTCTCAAGCTATTTCTCTGACTTTTTAACATTACTTAATCCAACCTGTGTATGATGGTAGCCAAGATGCTGCTGTCCCACAAAGCTCTCACAGGACTCTGGTTAACCTGAATTCATCATCTAGTTGTCCGTGAAAAATAAAATGAAGCTCAATTAATTCTGGGAGCAGAGGGATGGAATAGGATATAGCACAAAAATACTCTCTAGCTCCAGTATTATGTGTGTAAAATAATTTTAGTTTGTAATGAAATACATTAGCTCAGATTCCCAGGTTCACTCAACTCTGTGTTGCTTAACTGATGCAGATGAACCAGAGCCTGGCCACAGCTTTTTAGCCAGGACCAAGCTGACATAACTAGATATGTAGATAAACTACATAATTTACTGGCAGTTCAGGGGTTTGAGAAACAGGTGTTGGATTGAGCTCTAGCTAACCTCAGGCTGTTTTAAATGGAGCTAGAGCTGGAGCTGTTGTAAATAGCCCTCAGAATCAGGGACAGCTGTGCATTTACCTACCAGTCCCTTGCTCCTACTGAGTTCAGCTTTTGAAGTATGGTAAAGAGATTCTGGCTTTATGGGTCTGATGCCAAGCTCAAACTATATCACCAGTTAATGGGCCTGTTTTTTCACTATCTTTCCTATTCCTTAACTCTTATACTTGAGCAAAATTAGCATAAAACAAACCTTCTGACCTAGTAGCATTTTGCATAGGTATAAATGATGATACAAGGTGAACATGTCTACACCAGATGTTTTCTGCACAGCCGACTAATTAGCTGCACAGTAAATGTCACGTGTCTACACGTGCACCCAAAGTAAATTAATATACTCTGCAGCAGGATAGTACTTATAAATACAAGTACTATCCTGCTGTAGAGTAAAAAACTCTGAAGCACTCTGGTGTCCCAACCAGCCCCCCTGCAGCACATTGAGCTGGGTCAGAGCATCCCCAGTTTGGCAAGCAGACCTCATGAATGCTAATGGCATGTGTAGATGTGCCCAGGTTGAGCAGAGGAGAATGATACCTGGAAAGTTGGGGGTGGGGCTGTAGGTGGGGTGCTAGTTTAAGATAAGTCTTCTGTCTCTGCAGCCTGCAAAGGAAGCAAAAAAATTGCCAAACCTGGTAGATCTAAAACTGGCTAACACCTTGTTCTTCAGACAACAGTTAGATAGCTTTGGGCAGGCTCTTGGGTGCCCTATTCTCTTTGGCACATGCTTTAATTCTGCATTTCCTGTCTTCTGCAGATGTTATTAAAACCTGGTAAGTTTCCAAACAGAATTATATACAGAAATAACATTTGTAGCTATGCCAGCTAAATCTAGAAATCCGTCATCTCAATCCTTATGCTTCAGGGTGTAAACTGATAAACTGTGACAGTCAAGAAAGACCCCACCCCACCCCCGCTTTGCCTATGTACTGTTTCATCCAGTCACTGACTAGGTACATTGTGTTTTCCATTCTCTGGGCTCTGAATCATCAGGTATTCAGCCACTGCTGGAGGCACATACCGGACTAGGGAGATCAGTGTTCTGTGGCATCAACAATGAGATTTGAATGTGGTTTAATTTCCTTGGTTTATTTTTTTCTGTTATGCGGCGTGGAAAGGCTGACAAATGAGGATTTTATAGGTATTCACATGTACACATGCTGAAATGGTTTTTAGACGTACAGCACACGACCCCTCATTTCATGAGTTAGGTACCTATGCAGAATTTAACTCTTATGCGGAGGCCAGCTTGAGGTCTGTGCACTTCTGAAGTCTTCACTGAAGTTCCATGTTTGAGAGTTTTACTGCTGCCTTGGCTTTTTGCTAACCCATGCCCAAGGGTACATTTTACCCTGAAAGAACCTGAACATAACACATTTCTGAGGAGGCTGCATTTTGTTTCCATCTTAAACCTGTTTTAAAACTTGACAAATCCTGTTCTTGCTTCCCCATCACAGGCAGAGAGGATGTGTGTTAGATCCAGGACTGTGGGTAATCTCCAAATGGGGGTTCCAACCTCTGCATACTGTGGAGCTGTGCTCTAATGGGGCTCTGGTTGGGCCTCATGGAGCTGGACTTGGTGGGGCACATCTCAAAGGTAGGGCTTTAGCTCTGTAACTGCCCACGTCAATCAGGCATTCTAGCCATCCACCCACAAGAGGCTGCAAATTCAGGGGTTGCTGCGCAGCATTGCTGTATTTGCAATAGTGGCAATAAAGAATAAAATGGCCCAACAGCTCGCGGTGGGAGACTTTCATGGTACACCTACATGCTAACTCCACTTGATTGGGCTTGGGATAAAGAACAGTATTTGCCTGTTAACCTGCATCTTAAGTGCTTCAGGAAAAGGCTCATAACCATATTCTAAATCTAAACTTACTCTGTGTTTTACTCCTGTAAATAAGAATTTATAATGGAAACATTAACATGGCCTTAAATAAACCCACTTACTAGAGAATTTCCTAGTGAGCCATAGACATCAAATATTCATGCAATTTGCCATGCAATATAGGCCTCCAGAGCTCAAAAGGAGACCAGCAATTTCTGATTGCAGGGTTGGGTTTGGGAATCTTTTAATTCTTGGCCACAGATTTAAATCCAGTCTGGGGGAGTAGGATCTGATAATCTGCACCTTCTAAATTTGTGACCCTAAATGAAATGAATTGGTCTTAGTCCAGTTCTTTGTGACTGTCTATTCCTGTGGTAATTGACAATCTTAACAGAGAAGCCAGAGGCTGAATCATGGAGAACAAACTTATTTCCTAGAGGTGATCACTTAAGAACAGAACAGATATGCATTTGTAGCAACAGTTTAAACTGCCCTGTCCACGCAGTGTTCAATCTCTGAATAAACAAAGGATTCCAAGTGTCTGGGATGTTTTTTACATGGAAAAATTACTTTAAAATAGAGAAATTATATTTGCAATTGGATCACATACAAAGGTTGGTTGTATTTATTAGTGTATCACTTCCTCGTGATTTTCAAGGTTTCCACCCCCTCCTTACCCCTGAGGGATTAGAATGTAATTTGGTTTTAGAAATTAAACTGAGAGAAAACATGACTCACTGTGGAGTTATCTCATTTTCAGTGTACAACAGGAGCCTTTATTGGGTTTATAGCACAATGATAAAGCATGGTAAGTTGGTTCAGTGAAAGCCACTGACAGCACTCCACACATTAAGTTGCTTGTGAGATTGTACACAGAATATCTGAAATCTGTAATAAAATCCAAAGTTCCCTGCGGAGAAGCTGTATCACACGCTGTGGAGGTCCTGTATCATTACCAGCAGGAAACAAGTTAGCTTCACACTTAACTTCAATACATGGATGAAGGGCAAAGTATTGCTGAAGGCTAGGGACTGATACCCCAACCAGCATTTAAAAGATAGGTTGGGATTTTGGTAGTCATGGAAGAAAGGCTTTGAAGGAGGCCTTAAGCAGCTGTATTTTATAGTGCAAACGGATTTTTTATATAGAAATGTCATTAGGTCCTTAGCTATAGAGCAAGGGTGCTCAAACTCTAACCCACGGTCCAAATGTGTCCTATGGAGCCATCTCATTTCGCCCATGGTGATCCCCTCAGGTCTGGAAATTTGGCTGTGAGGGAGTGATGGCCATTATATAGCCACCCTCCCTGGCTGCCAAATTCCCATACCCCATGTGCAGCCCCTTCCCCTGCAAGACTGATTCATACCCCCTTCCCCCTGCTTCTGGATCAGAGCTGGGCCACACAACCTTCCCCCACACCACAGGGCAAGGTTGGGACCTGGCCATGCAACCTTCCCACCCCTTGGACCTGGGTTGGTGCCAGCCCATGCCCCCTTCCCCCCATGGGGACAGGTGGGGACATGGCCACACCACATTTCCCCCTTCCCTGCAGGACCAGGTTGGGGCTGGGCCACTCTCCCTTCCCTTCTGGGGTTGGATCAAGCTCCTTTCTCCTGTGGGATGCATTGGGCCGGCCTGCCCTCTGCAACCCTCTGTGTGGCTGGATGGTACCTGCTGCACCCACCCCAAGTGTGGGATCAGCACCACTGGCCAGATTTGGCCCATGGATGGACTGGGCACTGCCCATCTGGCCCACTGGGCAAATAGGTTGGGCACCACTGCTCTAGAAGATGCCAATTTGGGATTGAAAAAACACCTGTCTGTCTGAGAGCATTTCCAATACTTCTGGATTCCCAGACTCATTGAAGTAAGGTAGTGGGAAATTCCTTTCTGAGCACACTACTCTCGTTTTCTGGATTTTATCTCAAGGCCTTTGGCTGCACTGGTGACATTTCAGTGTGCTGGACTAATGCATATTATGGAAAGATCAAAAAGAGTTTCATCTAAGGCTCTTTGAAGTTAATCAAATTATTCCAATTGATTTTAATGGGTTTTGGCTCAGGCTTCAGATGCAGGAGTGGTGGCAGGGCAGAGACAAATGTGATTATGACGTGTGTGTACACACAGGATCAGTTTATAAATTTGCACTTTCACTTACTTGGATAGGCAAAACTTCACATTTGCACATAGTACTTTTTTATCCAAAACTGGCACTAAGAAACCCAACTGCTGGATTTGCATAAGCAAATGCTCTTCATACACCAAAAATAGTTGTGCATGGGAAAAGAACAGCTGCAATTTCAGAGGCATCTGTTATTTGTGAAGTTTTTGAACAACTATCCCAGATGCAAAACATTAGGGGGCAGATTGAAAAAGATATTTAGGCTCTTAACTCCTGTTTAGGAGTCTAAACTCCCATTAATTTCAATAGATTGTTATGTGAGAGGCAAAAATTCTTAGGGTGGTATCTTTATTGGACCAACCATGCAATTGGGATAAAATTAGACAAGTGTTTGAAAGCAAAACATTCTTCCTCCGGTCTCTGATCACAGGAACCAGGCACAGCATAGAGAAAAACTACATAGGGGAGCCTATACTCAACAAAGATCAGACCCTGAGAGAAATGTCCCCAGCCCCTCTGCACCTAGCTTTCAAACAGTTCCTCAACCTTGCCCAACTCATTATCAGAAGCAAACTCTCTGCTTCCCAACAGACATCAAGTGGGACACTTGCCTTAACAAGAAATGCTTAACCCCCCATAAAAAGCATTAGAATCCATGGTTCCTTACATGCCTTTCCCAAAATATGATATATCTGATCCAATGCTCTCATGGCAACTATGTGGGTAAGACTAAACAGCAACTATGCATCAGAATGAACCCTGACACAAAAATATGTAAAGGAAGGAGGCGCACACACCATTAGGAGCCCATTTGTCACAGAACAATCACTCGCTTTCTGACCTCACTATCCCCATGCTCAAGGGAAATCTACCTAACACCTTTAACAGGTGAACTTTTTAAGAACAAAAATGCATAAGCTGGTTGGACACTAAGAACCAAGAACTAAGCATTAATATTGGGTTTATGATACATTATATTTTACCCAACTCCTGAACTTTTTCCACACAGGAAAGGTGATCCTCCTCCTGTCTGATAGGCTGTCACCTCCCAGTAATAAGCTTCTTAATTTCTGCTACTTGTATGTTTGCTACCCCTAAGAATTTCCCTCCCCTTCTCCCCTCTCCTGCTGCCTTGTTTCTGTGATCAGAGACCTTAGGAAGAACGTCTTTCAAAAGCTTTTCTAACATAACCCAGCTACCTATCTGGTCCAATAAGAAATCCTTGCCTCTCGCATCATTTCTGGATCATCCCAGCTAAACCATCACTCTTGTGCTAAAAAAAAATAGAAGCATGGGCATCTAAATATCTTTATAGCTCAGGCCCTAGGTATCTATGAGAAGATATTATTGATAATGGTGGCATGAATGGTACAGCGTGCAGGTTTTGCTGTTACCCTTCCTAGCATAGCAACTTTACCCTTTATCCGCTGTACTTGGGGTATGTAGCAGATTAGTCCGTAACTCACTCTAGTGTTTCTTTCTGCCATCATCAGCTCTGAACCATTCTTTTTTTTCCACAAGACACAGCAACTGGACCTGCATTAGTGGGAAGGATGGTCCCAACACAAGGAGAAGAGTGATTGATGGTGCAAAATCAGGAAAGGGTGTAGGAAATGCAAAGGATCAAGGAGCTTAGGAAGACCAGATTCATCCATTTTCTATGTAAATCCAGTCAGAGGCTTGAAACAGTTGGGGGGATATGCTGGTGGCACAGAGAGTGACACTTTAAAAATGTCTTCTTTTGCCAAATACAATGATCTAGAACAATATTTCTTCATTGCATGTTGCAGTCAAGGCATCAACTGAAAACACCTCTATCTCAAATAGCATCCATATGGAAGATTTTTGCCTTTCAGGCCTGGATGTATTCACAAAAGACAGAAAGGAGAAAGAATTTTCTTTCAGTAGCATTTGAAACAGTCCTCTTCAATGTCTGCCTTGGTCCTCCAGTACTGTTCCCTCTATACCTTCCTTCCTAGCAGCCTTCCCCTGGGAAAGGTTTTCCAGTCCTAGAGTGTGAAAACTACAACTCTCAAAGCACTGCAATTCAAACTCTCTGCTTAGAGAGACTTTACCATTCATGCCATAAATATCTCATTGACGCTGCCTGACGTCAGAGGCTTTGGGAAGCTGGTCTGAAAGTGAAAACAGCAGCAGTTCCAATCTGAGTACAGTACGGTACAGAGAGCGAAAGGAGCAAGACAAGCACGGCTCTGTGTGGATTATAGGACTGCAGAAAGGGGGGAACTGCGCAGGGACATGGGGACTACAATGTAAGTGCAGCTGCTGCAACAACTCTTATCTATTCTTTGTGAACAGACCTAGGCAAGCACCGATTTCTTTTCTTTTTCTCTAAAACAAGCTGAAGGCAGCTTGGAAGCCACGATGATTTAGATCTAGCTGGGGTTTTTTTTTCCTGAAGTGTACATAGAGAGGGGCTGAAAACCAGCCCTTTCATGCTCTGTGTGGGGGTATGTGGGAGGGAATATCTTTGGAAATCTACAAAATTAATTGGGGACTGAAATCAAGATCTTTCTTGTACTGGTCGCAGGTCAGTAAAATCCCAAATAAACCCCAGGCAAGAACTAACTTCCTTAAGCTTTTTCACAGTAGGTGATTTATTTTTAACCCTTTCAGTCTTAACTTTCAGCTATGAGAAGTTTTTCTTTCATCATCTGACAGCCATTTCCAGGCTTCCTTACAGTGGCATTGAGGAATTCTGTCCAATCCTATTTGTCAGGCTACTCAGAGAAGCAGATACAAACTGCTTATTAGATAAAGCCTGCAAAGTCCTGAATACTAAACACCTCAGAACTATGTAGCCTTTTCTTGGCTCCCTAGGGGAGTTTGGTAATTATATAGGAAGAAAGAACTGAGAAATATCTCAGGATAGAAAAGTGGCTGATGCAGGGTCATCCCTGAAGAAGGCAGGAAGATGGTAACAGTGGAAAACTTGAGGGTCTCTGGCGTCTCCAGGGATAATGGACTAGGAAATTTATAAAACAGAACAGAAGTCTGAGTGCCAGAGAAAACAAATAATTGTCTTCCTCTGCAGCCAAAATGATACTCAAACTGGCAGGAAAGCCCATTCAATTAGAAGAAGGCACATTCACTAAGGGAAATAATATTTTTAAATGAAAACTTTATAACACACTGTACTTACCTTAGTATAACTAAATTAGTCACTTCCTTGCATACTGAGGTGCACTCACAATTGTCCGTGGGAGACATAAATAGTTGTTCCTAATCCTAACAGACCTGAACCCAGCTGACTCTGGACTGAGTTTCTGATCAGACCTCTGCTGAAAGCAGAAAGGGATTTTAGATTTCCTCACCAGACAAAGCAGAAGAGTTTGATGCATGTGTTTTGACACTTTTCATTTACCGAAGATTTAGAAAAGAAAAATTCTTTTCTAAATCAGCAAGCTGGACCCATGCAGGTGCTGCGAGGAGCAGTGATCCTGTTTAATGTCAATTTAAAGCTACAATGAAAAGCAGAGTCAGTGTGAATTACACAATACAGCATTCTGCAATGTCAGTAATTGGCTTCAACAAACAAGCAACCATAAAAAGGCTGTTTTAAGTCACTGCTAACTGGTTTGCATTGTTTTTGTAATGGAACAAGTCTGCAAATATTTTGCTTCTTGTGGGTGGCAGAATGGGTTGCTGGGGAGAGGGAGGATAGGATTGGATGGGAAATCTGTGCATAACATTTATTGGCTCTCCAAAGCGAAATCAGTCAGTTCCAGTTTTCTGGGCATAAAGTTGCTGCCGGAATCTCCTTCACTGCTTGAGTGGGTGGGGTAATGTCCATGTCAACTAATGAAACAGGGCAAAGTTTAATGGACAGATGTTCAAGTGCTAATCCAAGCTCAGGGCTGCCACGCCATGCTATACAAGCTTGCCTGATTTGAGGGAAATTAAATTGTACTGGAAAGGATCATGGCTATGAATGAGAGAGAGAGTGTGTATGTTCTGGGAGCTAAACCCTGTACTCCTCATTGGTGATACAAATATGAAATTAAATTTATTGATATGAAAGGTACTAGGATCTGGGTTTATGCCAGTGTACCACAGCAGTATTCACCCATCCCTATTTATTTTTTATTGAATTTTATTTACTGTAGGTTGGCAACTACTTTTCCAGGAAATATTACATTGCAGCAGTCTAATTGGCTGGCTGACAGCATTAAAAGTGAAAAAAAACTTTTTAGAATAGGTTTAATGAGTTGTTAGGAGCTGAAAATATTTTCCCTAATAAAAGGCTTGAATGTTGATACAATCAGCAAGAGTAAAAATGATGAGGCAGACCATTTCAGCTGGCTCAGCAGTGAGTCAGGCCGGCACTGAAGTGCTTCTGTACCATTCTGGGCTAATGCATGTGGAGCTAGTGGAGGCCAGGGGAATGTGGAAAGGATTTCCAAGTCAGGATGCACAGAAGGAGACTTGATTGTGTCTTTCTGGTTTCCAGACATCTACCCACAAGCAGCTGGCTAAGGTACCGCTCTACCTGCAATGGCTTGGAAGCCTGAGAAATGCTTGGAGAAAGGAAATTTCCCTGTAGTTCAGAAAGGCCACCGTACATATAAAGTTGCATGTAGAAAATGGGCAAAGAAGCTGTAACATTACAGGAAGAAAGATATGAGGGGAAAGGTGGGGAGAAGCTACGATCTATGATTGTTGATATGGATCAGATCACTTTACTAGAGAGAGATCTTACTAAACTGCAGAAGAAGGTGGGAGGAAAACACTATACTGAGAAGACAGTGCTAGTTTCTTTTTCGGGTTTTGGCCTCAGGATGTAGCAGGAGATTTCTCTATGAAAGTCTCATGCCAGTCATGCTGTGACTGAGGTTTTAAAATATCTTCACTCTGTGTCATAAAGTACAGTCATGTGGTTTTACGATCTTAGTTGCATCCTTGTAAATTTTTCCTAAATAGTGCTAGAACTACAGTTCACTTCATCTGAGCTTTGTACATGTGGGATATGATCCTGCTTTCACTAAAGCCTGTGGCAAATCCTCTTCCCAGAAAGAATAGGTCCATATTTAGGAAACACTGACTTTATTTGTAAGTTTCTCTGTGATCAGCTCCTATTCTATAGACAGTAAGTGAGAACTTACTAAAGTTGAGTAACCTCACGTAGGCATCTCTCACATGTAGCCTACCCATTTCCTATAGCTGCTGGAAGATTCCCAAAGGGCTCATTGGAAAGATCTCCAGTCATTCCAGGTTAACCACATGTCCTAATTATTGAGAAATAGAAGAGTGTCCCATTTCCTGATACTAAGGGTTAGGATGTGTAGGAGATTTGGCTTTGGGCTCTATAGTTAGTGCGATTTTTCAAACTTGGGTCAGTCCTACTGAGATTTGACCCACCAAGGCTAGAACAACATGTTCCTAAACCAAATGAAAACTGACTGCTCTATTTTTAGTCAGATGAAACACTGCATTTGTTTGTTTTCATGTTTTTCAACACACTGCAAGTGGACAGTGATCTCCCTTGTGGCTTTTTCTTTTCTCTAATATGTGGCTTCTTTGAACTGACACCATCTCAGGGAGTTAATAGTGGTAGGAATCAACATAAAAGCACACACTGGACCTGATTTTTTTCTCATATAGGTTGATTTTATAGCATTGTAACTTTACTGACTTTACAGTATAGTTACTTCCAGCTTTCAATGGTGCGCGTGATATCGGGATCATCACCCTCAAAGTGCTAATTACTATGTCTCACAGTGCCCCCATAATTTAGATAGGTTATTATATTATTAGGCCAGATTTCTGTGTTATAACTGGCATTGGAGCTCCAGAGAATCAATGTCAGTCTACATCAACTCAGGAACTAACCCGTTGTCTCTGGGTTACAAATTAGGTAAACTAGGTACAGGCAACAGCAATCTCTTCTCATTTGCCACAGAAAATCTGTTTAACCTTTATAGGCTTCAGTGCATCAACTCCAGACTTCCATTGTAATCAGTTCAAATGACAGCAGAATTTGGCTTAGAGAAACTGAGGTCCAAACTGTCTCAAGTGGCCTATAATTTTGGGTCTCTATTTTTGGTGCCCTACTTAAAACACCCAGGCACTCAAAAATGAGACAGCCAAAATTAAAAGGCACATTTGAAAATGTTGGCCTAAGTGATTTGGCCACACCTATGCAGTAAGTAGGTTTAGTTCTTCACACACCAGATTTATGTTGGTGTAGCTCCATTAGAGTTAATGGGTTACTCCTGATTTATGCCAAGGTAAATAGAGGGCTTGAGTCCTATTTTTTCAGAGCTGGGAATAGCTCTGAGGAACTTTTGAACATCAGCCCTGTACTCTCTTTTATGGTGACATAAGGAGCTTCCCACAACAAAGTTTGTGCAGCAGACTGTATTTGACTTGCATTTAACATTTTCTTCATGGTCCATTTTAGATTTTGTATAATTTTGAAAGTGTTTGTCTTCTCATAGTTTAAGCATTGAAGCTCTGGCATGCCTGGTGAACTCTGCCGAGTCAGCTATTGTCTCATGAATATTGTGGGTTGGAGAGAGATAGCACAGTGCATCTGCCCAAGAGCAACTCAGGAGTGTATGGGATCTGAATAGAGAAGTGACTCTTTGAAGAGAGAAAATGAAGTCTGAGATCCTTCTGATGGGTTACCATCAAAGCTAGGGCTTTCTTTGGAGGTACAGAAAGAATTGGAGAGATTCATTTAAAGTAACAAGAAGGAACTAGGAACGGCAAGGGAAGGGAACAGAGTGCTTGTAGACTTCCTGGAGTAGAAGCCAGGAATCATGCAGGGAATAGGACATGTTGGATTGGAAGTATAAAGAAGGTAAAAAAAGACAGTGAGAGGAGTGAATGGAGAAAAGAAAGGCAACCTTAAATGTCTGGGAAGAGCTTTAAATAATCATTTTGGATCCCTTTGTGCTTTGGCTCCAAGTGGGGTATAGACTTCTTCCCTGAACACCAGGGCCTTACTCATTTCCCAGCTTTGCTGGCTTCAAAGAAATAATCCCTGAATTGACATAAGCTTTGAAGTTCACATTTGTTTTTGTTCAAGAGTTTTTTCCCCGTCTTAATTGTGTCCCAAGATGACTTCAATGCAGGCAACAGATGTACCAGTCCAGCCTGGCTCCTATTTGAACCAAATGTTAAGCCAATCTTGGAGCTCCAGCAGTGCCTATTCCCTGTCCCTGGTAGACTTTTTATTAAAGTTGAATGTAAACAAGGAAGTGTTCCTCTGCTGATCCAAGATAGCTAACAGATCTAAATAATGTTTTAT